ATCTTTTCTAATTTCCTTTTCTAATTGTAATAGGTTTATTCTTAAATTTTATTTAGATTAGGATTGGTTTATTTTCTTTTAGAATTTAGTTTCCTTATTTTAATTTCCTTTTATTAATAGAATTAGGGATAATTTGACCTATAAATATAGGGGTATTGTACACTTTTTAATCAATCAATCATATATCAATACAAAGCAAGATTATTCCAATATAATTCTTATTTTCAATTCTTATTACAAGCATTTCTAAATGCTTCCGCACCAGACTAGTTGGGTCAAACAAAAGAATACTATCTTGGAAGTGAAATTTTGAGATAACCAAGCCACAAGCCTTCTTATGGAAACAATTGAGAACTTACACAATGGAAATAATTCAAGAATGAGAATTAGAAGTATAAAAGATCTATTCATCACAATTGCTTACTTGTGTAATTTATCGGGAACCTCCTTATTTCAATTTAGAAGACATTATCAAGTCGAAAGTAAATTCTAAATCATAATCAGCTGAAAACCTGGGAAGCACAGACACACAGCCGGCGCTAGCATATCGGTGTATGTCACATATCGGACACCGGTACATCTCCGACATGTTGACGACTCATGTCGGAGGCCCTTGTGGCGTGTCTTGTGTGAAGAGAACTGAAGAAGGCAGCTAAAAATTCAAGTAACAACTTATGAGTCAGTTTGAGAAAGAAAATTCAGTCAGCGGCTGAGGAAGACCAGAAGACGGTAAGTGGCGGCTGTAGAAGACTAGAACAGGAAACCCTATGTTATTGAAGGAAAAATGAAGAGAAAGGTCTCTCTGTGATGGATTATAATGTAAAAAACAATTGAATTACTTTTTTACCTTAATTCAAAAACAATAGAGAAGTACGATATGGAAATATACTTTTTACCATTTTAATTTACTATTTTATCCCCAATGAAAACTACATGAAAATTGCAAGAAAAATCTCAAAAATTCACTTCAAAAAATTAATAAAATAAAAAAAAATACATATTTTAATCAATGTGTCGACGATGTCTCGTGTCGGAGTTTTTTCGAAAAATCGCGTATCGACGTGTCCGACGCGTACTCATGTCCGTGTCGGTGCTTTTTAGCTGAAAACTATCATCATAAAAGAATTTGTGACATATAACTTTCCATTCATGACATAAGTGGATCCAAATGCGCCTGTTGATTCGGCACTTTTGAATGCAAGTCAAGGCTGACCTAATTCTAGATCACCTATGTAAATCCTTGAGTTGTTTACAAAGATTTTTCTTTATTCGTGGCTTAAATTAGGGTAGCAGAGGAAGTAAAATAGTACAAATTGCTTCAGAAAATTAAATCCCTACTGCACGTGTGTAACAGAAAATTCAAATATTGCAAATGTAAAAGATTCACAGCAGAAAAGTCAGGTGTCAACCAAATAACCTTACTTTTCTACAATAAAATATTTTCAAAATTCATTGAACTTGGGGAAGTAAACAGTTCCAACAAATGGTATGTCCAAATTATTCTAATAGATTCTATTCACACAATATCTTAATCAGTTTCCTCATGAATTTGAGTGGAAAAACTGTGAGAACCACTTACAATGCCATTCCAATCAGCATGGTAGACCTCTCCATATGAACCTGTAAACACAGGTTACATAACTATAAGATATAGGGGAAGATATAACAATAGACATAAGTAACTCCCAGATAACAATTTCTGAGGAAAAAAAAAAGGTTTGCTAGAAGCTTCGGTCTCAGAAAAGGGGAGAGAAAGGGATCAATGGTCATCAGTGAGCACAAAAACATATTTCATGCCAAGAATAAGCTTATATGATTCATCATATAAAGCAAGTTCTCTAATAAAATATACTAAGAGAAAGCATACCATGGTGAGGAAATTTAAGCATGAATAAAAACAATTGAAGCGTAAAACAAGAAGGTGTAGGTGCTACCTAGTCCAATTCTTTCACCAATAACAAGATCCTCCCAAGGAATTTCACATTCACCAACATCATCAATCACTGGATCCATGTGACTAGGAGCTAAATCAAGTGAAGGGCCGGCACTTTCTGTGTCCTTCAGTTTCAAATTAAAGCTGCCTTGTATGTTCTGTTCATGGTCATGCAGCCTGGTGATATTCGTCAAGTGGTCATTCGTAATATCAGGTTCGTTACTTTGCATCATGTTCCCATAAGCGCCCTGATATATTTCCATATGATTGTTGCTAAAATCTTCCCCTGGGGACAAGTGACTGAATTTACTTTCACCTGATTCCGTTGTCGAATTGTTATCAAACAAAATACAGTCACTATTATCTCCATAATTATTATATGACTTATCAGGTAACTTGTAGGTGCTAGAGGAAGCCTTTTCAGTAGCAGTAGGGATGCTAGATGCAACTGATGATACCCTATAACTACTAAACTCCTGACTGTTCTTCGGAAATAAACCATCCACAAAATTATATTCCTTTTTGTTTGGGACCTCATTGCATGCATGACGATTCTTCCACATCAAGGGTACAGGAGGCCGACCACTGACGAGGTTATTTTTTCTCCGTTGCAGTTCATCAACTTTATTTATAGGAATATTCTGAGCCATAGCATTTCGAGAACCTTTTATTTTGAATGGATTAAGATCTGAAAAAAGATTTTTTGGGTCTTCTGCACCATGCTGACTGCATGGAACCACATTTACATTTATTCTCAAGTCATCACCAACTGCATTGGGTCCACGACCCCCCCTGTACAAAGAAGTCCCAATCGCCAACAAGGGGCTATGATCCAATTGGTTAGCAGCAAGCCCTTCATTATTAGTTCCAGAAGACCCAACTCCATTATTTGCATTAGGATCTAAAAGTAACGGCAGTGCTTCTGTCTTTGTAGATTTTGTCCCTGGAAACAAATTATGTCCAGCAAAAGAACTCTGATCAGGTTGTGTGGAAGAACTATTGGTATCTTTAGTCGTCAGAAGACGGGGAAGAATGTTTAATTTTGGATTGTACGACTCGAATGGAGCATCCTTTGCACTCAGAACATCAACTGGGATTTGAGTCCCCGGAGCTCCCATGAGATCAACCAAGCATTCGCTGAAGAAATGAAATTGATTTTAGATTTTGACATGTAGAGAAATATGAAACACACATCCATTTACGGAATACACAAACAAAATCATGAGCGTATAAATATTTACATGTGAAGAGAAGTAAGTTCAAAATGTCAAACCAAAACCAGGAAACATTTAGAAGATAAATTAAATTGTGTAAAATTTTGGAAGAGTAAAAAAAACTGAAACCCAGTAAGTAAAGAAAATTCTTTCCAAAATGAGTTTTGCTTCAAAATAACCTTAGTTCTACGAGAAAAGTGAGCTTATCTATGTAATGTACAACTCATTCTTGTACTGATAAACAGAGAAAAGTGGAACAGGAGATATGTACAACCAGGTGCGGGAACTTCTTTCTGGAATTAGAATTAATTATTGATGAGAATAGGTGATTATAATCCATAAGAACTTTCATTAAAACTAGCTGATAAGCAAACTGTGAAACCATACCAGTTGTACTTGACAAAAATTGTTATCCATGCACAAGGCACCATACATTGGAGGGATGAAAAGGAGCATACATTTTTCTTTAGTAGGAAGGATTGCTTTGATTCGGTCTTTCCTCACTACCATACCCATTTATTACTCATCTTAGAATGCCTAAACTAATCACCTAGGATGTTAGGTGAACCACGAGAGATTTCATGTGGAGCGGAACAGAGATGTTGAAGGAACAATTTGGTAAACTGATAGATGGTTCGCAAACCCAATGCTTTAAGATGATTAAGAATGGGAAATTTGGTGTTTAGAAACACAACCTTGTTATCCAGTGGCTGTTGCAGTTTATTGTGGAATCTGAATCTTTGGCACAAAATAACTAAGAGCGTGAATGGTCTCAATTATATGGGTGGGATGCTAGAATTGAAGCCAGCGTCCCAACCACTAGTCTTGGAAATTCATCTCTCAGGTATACTCAACATCTTTCCTCTTATTACCTTCAAAGTTCAGAGTGGTTTTCATCTTCAGTTCTGGGAAGATTTGTAGCTAGGTTATCCATCTTTTGATAAGTATACCCTAAATTATTCTTCTTTGCTATATCATGCTGCAATTTCTGATTTCAATATTATAGGAAAAAAATTCAATCTCATTAAGCTCCTGTTCCTTCAAAACTTCAAATGATGGAGAAACAGCGTATTTACTTCTTCTAAACTTATCAATCAGTTATTATTCACCTCCCTTCGCAAATTCTCGATGTTTGTCTCCAGAGAGCACTGTATTTGTACATGCAAAACATTTATTTCTTACCTCACACATGAAGTAACATAATCCCTTTACCGTTAGCCCGAAATAAAAATTCCCTCGAAAGTGAAAGAGTTTGATATTTGAGAGGCAGAATACTAATGGTTTACATCTGTACCCAGACCATGGAATTTCCTTTCTCCCAATGTGTCCATGATTTGCAGAAGGCAAAGTGAGAATTAAGTCCACTTATTTTTTCCTTGTGCTAGCACCAGATACCCGCTGAGTACATTGTTTCAAATTTGAGAGAACTTTACGTTATGCTGGCTACTTCGGAGGAGTTTCTTAAAATTGAAATTGGGGGGTTTTGGTTAGAGATTGAAAGAAAGAGACTGTAAAAATAACTAGTTTTCTGTCACAGTGCCTTTGGCTACATAGGAGCTCTAGAACTTTTAAGAATCAATTTACATGAATCTATTGTGAGATTGAGCAATTTTCTTGAATCCGTGTCATTCTATATACCAGCATAGCACTTCAGTGAGGTTGGGAGCCTCTTTTCGGTTCCTAATGAGATTAACTGCAGTATTCGTTATCAGAGGACAACGTGCCTCATCCTTTAGTTCTCTATAATTGATAAACTATTTCTTTTAAAAATAAAAAATAGAACATATTCTCAATAATTCAATTCAAAAGTATGAGGTTTACCCAACATTCAAAGTACACATCAAAACAGAATTTCAATAAGGCTAAACACTGTCTTATGAATGAAAGTTCAATACGGCTAAACACTGTCTTATGAATGAAAGGAAAGAATTATGTCCGCGCAAATTTCCTCCATTATCAGGTCTATTTCTGTGTGCATTTGAAAACTACACCTTAATGGTGTTTGTCAAAGCGATATAGAACTTCTCTCACATTCTGTCTTAAGGATGTTATGGCTCCAGCCTCCAGTAAGAAAAGTCTCTGTTTTACGGAAGCTAGCATATTAATATTGTAGGCCAACCAGCAACCGCTAGATTAATATATACAATTACAGTTTACAGATCTACTACCAACTGCCATATAGAGCTCGAGTCATAAAGACGAGATACTAGGGTCTTACAGATGAGGGAGAGTACACAATTGGTACTGGGGACAGAATAATCATTTACTTAACTATGATCTGAGTATATAAAATGAAAGCTTGCAGTATATATGGAAGATGTACATAATTGGGGTTGGGGACAGAACAATCCTTTACTTCACTATGATCCTAGCATAAGAAAGCTTGCAGTATACGTTGGAAAATTTTATTTTATTATTTTCTTATTTTCATTTTTGTAGGTTGGTTGGTTGAGGGGAGTGGGATTGGTCGCTAGGGTCACCAGCCTTATACTACTATCAGTCCATGCTCCAAATTAATCCCTCCATCCCGTTATTAAAGTCCGTCTTTCGAAACTGATTATGAAAAGTCAAAACTTTATTCTCGAAAGAGCACAAAGTACTAGCTATATTTTAAAATCTCAATTAAAAATGCTGAAAAGTACAAAATTCCTATCATAAGTAAAACAGAGCGCCCGAGTTGCTAACAATGGGACGGAAGGAGATCTAATATTGGAAATTCTCCACCACAGATGAGTTGTTAACAATGGGACGGAAGGAGATCTAATATTGGAAATTCTCCACCCATTCCAGAAGCATACTTAAATTATCCGCAGTTCCAGCATCCCTATGAAGTAATTGTACTCTATTCTACTAAATTATTATTTATTGAAATTACAGAATATCTAGACAAGCCTGAATCTTTACAAGTTACAACGAAATCTGCAGGACACAATATTCTCATATGAATCAATACCGATTATGTAGTCTCCTGTAACCCTGTAGAATTATTCAAAGTCGCTTATAGTTATTTGATCACATACACTTCTCATTTCATATAATATTAGGAATTCTCGTCTGCTCATACATGTTTTGCAAGCACCCAATATTGGAAGCAACATTACCTTTACAGTACTACTCTAACCTAATCAAAATAAATCAAAATTAGAATAAAAATGGTATTTGGTATCCGGCTAAATCATACCAGCTCCAAATCCATGTATCATAGATCATGCAGAACAGGAAAGAACATGAGACAGGTCAAATAAATTTCAAGTGTTTGTGGGACAAACGAAAATATGAAGCAGGATTTTGTTCCAAGGATCCAATTTTTTTCCCACAAGTTACAACTTACAGAGATTGCAACATGTGGCAATGATTGTGTAGCATCTGCAAACAGGGGCGGACCCATTAAGGCCCAGTGGGGGCAATTGGCCCCACTGAACCCTTGATTTTTTAAATAGAGAGAAAAAAAAAAAAAAAACCTACGTAATAGTAGCCCATAATTTTTAACCCAAATCCAGCAATCTTAAGTCTTTCACATGAAAAAAGGCCAACATAATTCTAATTTCCCACTTAATCGTACTTCCGTTTCCCTAATTCTCAAACCCAGCGATTTTGCGAATCCCCGGTGATTCCAAATTCTATTTTGAAAGAACATATTGAAGAAGCAAAAATTTGTAATCCATCTCTCTTTCTTAATCTTGTTGGTTATGTTTTGATAGTTATTTATGCTTATATAATTTCATCACATCCCAAAATCAAATCATATAAATATCAAGCCTGAAAATTTTCTCTGCAAAATTCCGATGTGTTTCCTCATGCGTGTTACAGTAGTTGAATAGTAGTGAAATGGAGGCTTAAATGTTGCGACTTGCGAGGAGAAGATTATGTGCACTGACTAAGAATTTTTAGTTAGTTAATGCTTAATGAGCTGGAAATTTCGAATTTTGAGATTATTTGATCTAGTTAAAGTGAAATTAGGAACTCCAAGATGATAAATGTCATTTTTAGTGCTTCAACATTCTATTTTTACTCAATTTATCATAATCAAGGCAGTCTCAACAACGAACTAGAAATTGAAGAATTACTGCACTATATAAAAAATTTTGCTTCATATAAAGAGATTTTATTTCATTAAATATGGGTAGTTATTTCATTTATTAAGTAGAGCTGTTGCATTGATAAAGTGAGTAGTTGGGCATTAGAATAGTTTGGAATGGAGGGAATTCTTAAAATGAGATCTCTTCCATTGAATCTAGTCCATCTGTGGAAGTTGAGCAAGTTGGTCTAATTTAATATTATCGTTGTCTAATTTAAAATTATTTTTTATATAATTCTATCTCAGCCCCCGCTGAACCATAATCCTGGATGCGTCCCTGTCAGCAAATATATACTCCCACTATCCCATAAAGATAGTTCTATTTCCTTTTTTCATAAGATTAAGAAAATTTAGCTAATATAGTTGAAATAATAAATTTTACGATCATTTTTCCTAATATACCCCTACATTAATGTCGTTAGTATTCAAGGTAATTTAACTATTCTTGGTACTAATAATTGTTTAATGCAAGAATCAAGGTAATTAACATTCCAAAATCATCCAATACAAATACGAATAAATAAATGTCATGGAAGATGAAATGGCTTTTTGGTTTTTAATTTATTGTTCCAACTACAATTGAATAATGGAATGACTTATATTTATGATAACAAAGCATATCAAATAGGGGCATATTTAGAAACTAATATATTAACTACACTCTCAAATAAGAAACAAGACTATAATTTAGGACAGACCAAAAAAAAAAAAAGACTATCTTTATGGGACGGAGGGAGTAAATTCTCTAATTTCTCTACAACTCCTCAATCTAATACCACATCAAATGTGTTTCATTCAATTCTACATAACTAAGAATGTGCTATGGTCTGTAGCAATGTTTGCCCTCTTCATACAAAGCAAAAAAAGTTGGCTGTTGGCATTCCAGCAACTAGATGAGTATACTTTTAATTTATTCACATGGATCTTCAAAAATCATAAGAAGGGTTATCATTAGAAGTTTAAAAATATATTCCAGCAACTTCATATGGCCCAATGAAAACTACATATGCATAAATTTAAATTTATGCAGATTCAACTACATGGAAAGCAAACGAAGTTGGCTGTTGGCATTCCAGCAACTGGATGAGTATACTTTTAATTTATTCACATGGATCTTCAAAAACCGTAGGAAGGGTTATCATTAGAAGTTTAAAAATATATTCCAGCAACTTCATAGTTTGTATCATATATGGCCCAATGACAACTACATATGCATAAATTTAAATTTGTGCAGATTCAACTATCAAAGTATATATAATCAGTCTGCTTCATTCAAATTAGGGAAGTCGCAAGCAACTAAGCACAAAGATTCGTAATTAATGAGCAGGACCTGGCAGGCTATGATGCAACGATATGGAAACTATCAAAGTATATATAACCAGTCTGCTTCATTCAAATTAGGGAAGTCGCAAGCAGCTAAGCACAAAGATTCGTAATTAATGAGCAGGACCCTGGCAGGCTATGATGCACCGATACGGATACGTGTGTGCGTACGGACACAATTTTTAAAAAAAGTCCAGACACGATACGTTGATTAAAGTCTTCATTTATACTAATTTAATTTTATACTTATTATTAATTTTTCTTATTGAAATCTTTTAAACATAAGTACATATTTGTTACATGCTAATAACTTTGAATTAACAATATATAATATTTCTAATATAAAAAGAAAAATGAATACGATAGAGTATCCGAGAAGTGTCGATATCGGACACGGATACGCTACCCTAATTGAAGTATTTGTGCTACAGAGCAGGCGGGTGATGGGAAGAGATTCAAACCACTATCTCCAAAGTACAATAATCACTCCTGAATGGAAGAAGAATATTATTCACCATGTTCCCATATTACCTGTCATTTGGTAGCTTGATAATGTTGACTGCATCATCCTCAACACCAGTGTAATGGCTACCCTTCACAAGTCTACAAGGTATTCCAACACTGTCAGCTAATACCTGGATTAAAGCAAGCAAATCGATTATAAACAGAGCTGTAATGAGCAAATTGAATTCTGCAAAAGACATTTCAATAATATCAAGAAGCTTGAGCATATTTAGAACTTAAGAAGACAATGTGCACAGAACTTAATTTGTTGAATGGTTGAATATCCTAGAATATCATTCAATTACATCTTCAGAAGATCAAAAAAGGTAACGCGTTAGTTCTCTGAGAGAAAAGCATGTGCAAACAAGGTCATATTTATCTCTAGTCTTGAAAAGTCTACAAGAAAAGATTCAAAACTAATATTTTATACCTACCACAGATCCTACCTTAAAAAGCAGTGCACGGTGGCGAGAAAGACCAATTTTCAGGGACCCAATTGGCAGCACCGTGGTATGAAGAGACGTCCTCAATTCCATACTTCTCTCCAGCCATTTTTCCAACATTATATTAGCATCCCGTACTGGCCCACCCAGGTGTTCTGTAACAAGTTCAGCTAGTCTCTGTACAAGTAGACTAATCTCAGCATTAGGGCAGTCTAATGCAATACAGTGTGCTATCTGCATCAACTCCACCAAAGCAGGATCTATTTTCCTGTTAACTATGACAACCTCAAAGTCAGACTCCCCGTTGTTACTTTCAAGATCTTTGAGAGATGGCATGTTCCCTCGAAATGCTTGATCTGTGGAGAGGCTATATACATCATAGAAGCCATCCACAACTCTTTCCTCAAAGTCAACAACACTGTAATCCTGGCAAGGTAAAAGAATGGAAAACATACAACACCTATGTTAAACGAATAAAAAGCATTATGCTTCCCATTTGATGGCATGTTCGCGCAAGACCAGAGAAATATAAGGAAAAAAAAAAAAGCAATCTTCAAATTCAACGACATAAAAGAAACTCAAAAAACTGCTACACCAGATGCACTAGCATGCCTGAAGAATAAATTTATGCCCTAATCTACAGAACAAGTAGAGTATATAAAATTAGCAGGAATTCTACATCTCTGCTATATATGTTATAAAAGCTATGTAAGGAACCTGAAGGTATAACACAATTGCATTTCTGTGACACTGGCGCGGGTAGGAGTATAAACTTTTTTATATATTTAACAAAATATATATGCTAATTATTTGGGATCACAAGTTTGAGCTCTATATACATTCCTATCCAAATATCAAATTGAAAAGTTGGAAGAAAGACAATTTTAGTCCAACTTTCTATTACTAGCCTACAAATAGAAGATTCCAAATCACTTCCTTTCATTCAAAAGGACTGGAATTTTAAGAGATTTTCTCATCTAATACTCTTAAGTAATGGATGCAATGCACAAAACCAACTCAGATGAAGTAGATACAAGTAACAAGTCCCTTAATGAGAATTTTTGTGCCTTCAGTACGGTTGCTTCTCTTTTGGGGGTCCATTATGTAAAATCAAGTCAAAGAAGGCATGTACTACACGACATACATAGTTCGAGTTTGCATATTTGCTGCAAATGCCATTCCAATTCTTTTGCTTCAGCCTTGTGGAATACAATAATGGTGAAGTATTTAGCAGAAACCCACAAATTGTAGTGCACAAAATGGATAATATTATTGGTAAACTGAACTAACCCAATAGTGGCGAGACAACAAGTCAGCAGCAGCGAGGTCCAAATCATCACTGCGAAAGAGGGAGGACCGGGTCGGGTCATTATCCGGGGCAGAGTTCCGATCCGAAGAGGACACGCTCAAAGCCAAGGCCAGCTGCACCTGGTACTCCTCCTCCGATGCATAATAGTCCTGCTGTTGCTGCTGCTGCCGATTACTAGTGCCCGTATTATTATTACTATTTCTGTTGTTATTATTGTTGCTAGTGTCACCGCTAGTACTGGTGGCAGCGGCGGAGGGGGTGGTGGTTAAAGGAGAGGCACGGTTGTCGGAGGCAGCGGAAGGCGGAGATTGTGGTGGTGGTGCTGCTGCCTGCGGGATCTCGTTGGAACGGTTGGGATGGTGGTGAAGCTTCTTGAAAATGTGCTTCATCTTGTCGTCTTCTCCGTTTCTCTCTGATTATTTTCTCCACCTTATTTTCGTCCTCCTTTCCCTTTTTTTTTTTTTTTTTTTTT